AGAAGGTCGACCGTTAATAAAATAAAACTCGCTCGTCACAACCATCAATAAAGACTATACTTTAATGCTGATGATCTCAAAATACTATATCGCTTCAAGCCTAAAGATGGAGACGAAAATATAGTCTGGATTCAAAGTGACTGTACGATTTACTTTGTCCTACAGATGTAATTTTAGAACGGTAAACGCAATATTGGTGAGCACAGAGTTTATGGGAAAGCTATAGTTAGAACAAGACCAATTTCGCCCTAAACTTTATCTGTTTCTAAAAATAAAAACAATTAGATTAGTAAAATAAGTAAGGAAATTACAATTATCAAGTAAGACGAGCAAACGTACCGACCAATATAACGTGTCTTATGGAAATGAGTGAAGTTATGAGTCACATCAATATAATAAGATAATAATGTCTATCAATTATCAGGCCGTTCACAACAAAGAAAGTTAACAGACACGTCACGCCAGATCACGTGGTGGGCGCTTAAACCACAATTTGATTGGTTAGTTATGACGTAACTACAATTAGTTATGAAAATAACTAACACTCCCCCCGAAGCGGTCACCACGTCTAGGCCCCGTCGCCGTCACGCTCGAATAATCGACCTCTTCCAGTAGGCATAGGTTTCGTATATCTCGGTTGATCTCATCGGTATCTGTCTTCAATTGAATCGTTCTGTCTCGGCCATCTGTGACACAATTGACCTGTCTAACTATAGCTTTCGCCCACAGATTTCTCGGCAAGCCAGTATTAATAAATAACACTGAGTCTCCCTGTTGTGGATTCCTTCTCTTTGACTTAATGATGTGTTTCCATATACCGCTTCCAGGATCAAAGATTAATGCTACATACGACAAAATATTCCTTCTGGTTAGGTTTCCAGGAAACTCATGAACTTTAAAAATTATTCGTCCGCTCGGGCATTCCACTCTATCCCCAGTGTTCGTTTACTCATCTCGTTGGATCCGCTAGGGTAATGTTTCCTTCGGTACGATCTTCCTCAATAGTTGCACAATTAGTTATGGAAATAACTAACAGTGACCATGACCAATTATCGATCTGGAGCAATATGTGACGTTTATCATTAAACTACAACAAGTTTAGGACCATATATTGTGAGAAGCCTTACCATGAGCCGCCTTATATAAATAAATATGGAATCCAGACACTCAAAGCAGCACATGAGCAACATATTCGCTACACGGAAGGCTAAAACTATGAAAACCTTGCACCTCTAAAATTTATAAATGTAAACGGAACTCAGGTTTCATAACAAACGATTTCTTCAATAATGAGGCTAAGCTTTTCAATATATATGCGACCATCCCTTGAATACCGTTTATTTGTTTCGTTGGGCATATCACAGTCAAGATGTCAATGGACAATGTCCAAAGAAGATTCATATGTTAACTAGTGGGACGTGATCCCACTCTCGACTACGCAGCTGGATGTAAAATTCTCTCCCTGGAATCTGTATGACTCGGCCAGCTGAAGGATGACCTAAAATCTCATAAAACAGCCGATGGAATCCTACTTTAAACCAGTGGCCTAATTTCGACCGGTGGTCCTCCTTACAGACTCCGAAACAATGTAAAGATACTACTGTAGTGAACGAGAACACAGGTGGGGCAACCGAATTGTATTTAACGAAAACTACAGAGTTACTCAGTAAAATCGGAAAACCATATCGTAAATCGTTAATTTGCAAAATATCAGTTCATCATATCGAACTGGACTGTTCCTGTTGCAAAACATCAATCCATTGTCACTATTCATGCGTTTCATACAAATTCCATTGTTTTCTAACTGTTCCTTTCTTGATCTTCCCCCATCTTCGGCTGCCAGACATTACGTTGACACTCACGTCATATACTACTTATAAGTAGCTAGCACAACACTACTACCTATAAAACAGAACCCTGCACGGTTTGCTGTGGAGCAGACTGTCATTACCTCTCTGTAACTTTGAAACTGTCTCAAAGATTAAGAGACCAACAACCTTGCCTTTGGACTCTGGGGAACTTTATCAGCTATCCTCGGAACTATAACCCGGCCACAAGATCCATTTTAGTGACCGCGAAACATCTGGATTTACGAAGCTATTGACCAACAATGAATATGTCACACTGTCATCACTACTCGTTTATGTACAGTAAAGTACAAACCAAATTATTTCTTTTCTCCTGCTAACAGCAGTTAATCACACCCTGATGCTGAGATTCAGATTTCCTGAATCCCTCAAGTTGCGCCATTTTCGTCCATGAACTTCCTTGCCCATGATTTCCATTTCAACTTACTGCACACATGGATGCTACTAAACTATTTTTGATAAAAAAACTCACATCATCCCGAATTACTATGAGTTTTTTCCAGTCCATCTTCTATCAGTTTCAAAAACGAGTAATGATAATTGTTATGAACAAAACGAATATATAATTTGTATCCAAACACTGTTTCCGTTGCTAGGTTTTAAAGACCTACATTATAAAAATTCGAAAATTTCTGGCATTACTTTTATCTTTCTTTTTATTATCAGTGTATCTTGTTACAAATCAACCTAACCAAGTAACTTACAACAGTAAATCCTGTAGAATTCGTAATACTTTGATCTCGCCCTTCAGCTGCCATGCCTCGGCTGATAGCTTGATATCAGTGAATAAGTTAATAATGATGATACGCCCTCTCATGACAGTCAGACGTTGCTTATAAGGACTTGTGAAGAATGCTCTTAGTCTGGGGACAAACTAATACACTTATTACGGACAGCAAAAGGTTACACAGAATAAACATGTCTGCATGACGGAGCCATGTCCTCAAGATTAGGTATTCCCATACTCGCCTTGTCTGACGTCCAGATGCTCGACTACGAACGTAAGTCGCCTCAGTCATTACATATATATCTTCAACGATCTTGTTGCTAGAACTCACTGTCGTTACAACTCATGAGAGGGATACAGTTCACAATGAAACATGATGATAACTTACCAGTCGATGGTGCAATAGGTTTGATAATGAGCGATCACAGTATTTCAGAGTGGTCATCGTTTTTCGGTATACATATACCTTCAGTTTCAGTGGTTTGCTCGAAGTCTGGTGACTTAGTCCCCACTTAGTAATCAAGCAAGCTAGCTGTAATTTGACGTTGTTCAATTCTTTCTAGTTCAAGGTCCAGATGCTAATGTGTTTCTTGTCGGATTCGTAATCGCAGAGCTATTAACTCCTGAGATCGGAATGTGAGTTCAAAATATAAACGCACCAGTGGAACTTTTACTCCGTGTTTCTCAGTCAAAAGATTCAGATAGTTTGAAGACGGGTTGTGATGACAATTTCGGAAGTGCTCCTTTAACCTATAAGAATCTAATAAGCTTCTTATGACTTAAAAATATAGCTAGGTTTTTAAACATAGCTGTCAAATCGTAAAACCAGAGTGATGGACAACGCTCTGGAGTAGTTAGTGTATTAAAACGCTTAAAACCTCAAAACTTATGCTATTGTATACCATTCTTTTCATGGACCATAATTTTAGGATCCACCATGTGACGGCGCTTGATTTTCAGCATTCTTAGATTCGTGGGAGCTAGTTGAAGTGCGTTTGATAATACGCGTTGTCCTGTAATTAACATATAAGGTGTGATATTACTGATTAAATATCTTACGTCCACCTTTGCTCGTTTGGATTTAAATGCTTGTAGAGTAACTACTTACAGGACAGTTTCGATGTACGCTTGACGGTAAATAAACGTAAGCAACAGAAAAATATTTTACGTGAACTGGCAGCCAAGTTTCTTGAATACTGTCCTCTGTTTGTAGAGTTCGTCGCGTATGTTTTAATGTTACTGCAAACTTGGGATTGATACGGTCACAGAAATATATCTGATACTGAAATTTCAATCTGTAAAATGCTGCTAACCTAGATTTAGTTAGACGCACAGTACCTTTAGACTGTCGATTGCTTCCATTTTCCGAAACATCACATTCAATATAGATGTAGTTTTGTGGTTTCCTGCAGGTTTAAGACTTCTTGCCATAAGTGTTGTGGCACTAAGACTCAGTGTGTTTACGGTTTTCATGAGGACAGGAAAGTCTGCGACAGTGTCGGAATAACTGAAAGGTGACCTGTCGAGTCCAATAGATCTTTAATTTGGCTTCCTATATTTTAATGATTCCATTAGCCCTAATTATCTGAAAGAAAGCCCATCCCTCCGTGTGGTTGCTTAGAGCTAGAAAGGCGCTCGTCTGAACCGGCTGGAAGAGATTGGAGAGGGGAAACTATTTAAAAAGTCAATAGCCAAACAGTGTTCTCTGAATCCAACAAGTTCGCCGGAAGTGCCGGATCCTTATTTATTTAGGTAAGTTATTTACCGCTACTGAACAATCTTCTGATCATATTAAACGGAATTCGCATCACTACAAAGAAGATCCATAAGAGTCGTAGGCTGTTTCAAGAGATAAAAGAGTGAGTGAAGTTCAGTGGTTCATCGCTAAATAGGTGAGAAGCTTTCTCTAGAGTGCCTAACAGAATACAGACAGAAGATAGCAAATTTAAAAAACCCAACTTATGAAAAAAACACAAGTTCTGAAACGTGTTTTAAAAGTCAAGCTCCACCTACAAACTTCAAAAGTTTTGATAGTAGTTTTTAGCAAGATAAATACACTGGAACCCTATTTCTTAAACGTGGAGAAATTCCCATTGCTTGTAGTGTGAGCTGTAGCGTTCGTCTGAACCTTTCTCATAGCGAGACATATGATCCTTGAAAATATGCCTCTAAGTTACGCGGAAAAATAATGTTTCGCTTACGTTCATCAACCAAGTTCCTAAACAGGGTTAATAAAGATCGATGGACTTTGTTCTGTATTATTTTCAGTACTCTGTGTAAAATAGGTTTTCGATAATATTTCTGGGGGCTTTCTTTTATTCTAACTGATACCTTTTGAGCAGTTCTAACATGATTTTTAACTTTGCTAACTTGGTGTTTTAATTAGCTATTCGATTTGTATTTGCCTCCATTGTGTCAAATGTACTCGCAAGTGATGTTGCTGTGTATTGCTTATCGTCATTAAAATCATTGGGTTTTCGTGCATGTTTTGCAGCCATTCAATTCAGAAAAACTTCGCGGAATTAAAATCGTTTGTGGATTATACAAACAGAAGGGAATTCGGTAGGACCGCATGTCACGAACATCAGCTCGTTTCTGACAAGCTCACGGCTCAGCGGTCAACTACAGCTCTGATAGCAGACACACCAGTCAACTGTCGCTCTGTATATCTACTTAGGCTTAACTGTTCTGGCCGACTTGTTGCCGCAGCACACGGAGATCGTTCTGTTTGTGTTTACTGTGCTTCCACCGGTCGACTGCTCTCAAAGTGTATTGGTCACGAGAAATCGCCGTGGACGCTCACTGTAAGTCATTTTGAGTATCTCTCGCTAAAAAATTCTGGGTTCCCCGTGGGGGTCTCCGCTTATGATTTCATGCAAGGCTGACTTAAAATACTTCATAGGTATTTAGTTTTTGAAATGGGGACGCGACACGAGTCGGTGTCCAATTGGCTTATTACTGAGAGCTAGTTAACATGTAAAGGTATTTCGTTCTTCTAGTAGTTAGTTCAGCTCCAATGTTATTCACTTTTTGTGACCTTTTATCTTGGTAATTAAATACGTCCCTATTAGTCAAACAAGTTGTCTTTATTAGCTGCGTAAAACGAGCAACTTGGTTCTACGAAGCATAGTTTAGTGACCAAACCTCATTCTATTACTTCAGACTGACAGTACATGGGGCGGCGTAAACATCCGTAGTAATTCTAGAGACCTGTAATCAACCCTGGTATCATCCCCAGTCCACTATTTATGTACATTTCTTGAGAGCTGCTCGATCTATTTTTAACCTTCGGACATATGCGACACTTTCATAGTATTCAAGGTGATCAGTCATTTACGTGTCTTAACTCTTCGTCAACCACTGCTATTAGAATGACCAGGTATAACTAGTCCATAACAATCTTGTTTGCTTTTACCCTTTTTCATTCGTGAACATTCTCATCTGATTTGAAGGAACTTAATGCTAATAGGAATTAGTTGAAAGCCGGCTTTTATCGGATGAAACGCTAATTTTGACTAAACCTATGGCTTCCAAAACGACATATCTAACTGGTCGCCTGCTAGTTAGAAAAACTAAACTGCATCGTACATTCGAATCCCGCTCACCTCTGGATGAGATGGGCGAGTGGTATCGCTGATCAAGCGTGATTTAAATGCCAATTACACTATTCTGGATTTGGCTGTTTAATTATTGGGTTATCAATCGGATTTGTATTGAAGGCCTTCCGTCTCAGAATACATATATTTAGTCACAATCAAGCTCTCTGCTGCTGGCTGTAAAATTTCATACTTCGCTAGCGTTTTATTGCTTCGGTTTTCCAGTATTTACTTGATCTTGATCGATTTGATCTCGTGCGCTTTTATGGGTATGAGGGCGGATGTTAATTCCCGACTCCCCACACCGTGGAATGGCTCTGGTTGTCAGAAGAGGCATCGGTCTTGTGACTTCCGAAGAAACTCGGCTTTCATCATGAGACGTCATAACTCTTCTAAATGAAGACAACTCCCAGAGTAGAGTTTAAATTGTTTGAATTATTTTTCTTGGTAGCGTTTTTTTAGAGTTAGTTTTCTGCAGAGTGGGGTCGCCAACACCAAACACACCCCTCCTTTATCCGGCCCTGAGGCCGGCAGTAGCCACGGTCTACAGGCGCAGGTCCTCATCACCTTTTCGAGTTTCTTTCACTAGATTACTTGAATAATACCATCGAGCACTGATCTCTTTGATTACTACTAATATTTCTACTACATTTACTACTATGGGCTTTGAAGTGACATTTGCGTCTCTGCTAATGTGGTATGGCGACTTGAATTTATGTACGTACGTACGAAGTTCTACGTTGTTACTGACTGATCGTATTTACTTGAAAGATGAGTAATGTCTGACAAACAACCTGGTATTTGTTTCATTTTAAATCCTTCATTGCTTTGTATAAATCTCATTTTCTGTATAGTTTCATCCAACTCAACCCTACTTGCTTGCCAGTGGGTGCCTCGGTGGCAATGTACGGCTTTGGAATTTGGAGCACTTGGCAGTACTTGACGATGAAAAAATCGAGAGCGTAGTAGAATTACCGTCTTTGTTCGTTTGGAAGCACACGGGTGCAATCGCATCCCTTACTTTCCACCCGGTTCATCCCATACTAGTAGCGGCATGGTAAGATTCTTAAATGTCAATCTCCTAGTCTACTTTTTGTGACTTCGTACTAATCCTTTTCCAGGTTCTAATCTTTTGGTTAAGTATTTAGTTTGAAAGTGCTAATACCTAAAAGCTGCATTGTTTGGTTGACTGAAATTGTTGACTGGTTCCAACATTTTGTAACGTCAAGTGAAACGTTTCATCAGAGTTGTGTAAAACGATAAAAGCTACCAGAAACTCCTGATGTCGTATAACAAATTCCATTTAAAAAACCAGCCCTACCCAAGTTTAGATGTTGAGCTTTAGCATTTCATTTGCGAATGGTTAAATAGTCCCCTCAGTTAATGATAATGCAAACGTAATTTATTTCTACATCTAAGCCAACTGAAGTTTAATCTCACTCTCCAAAATTTGATGCGTATTATCCATACTTATCGATATACCGAATTCACCAGTGAGCCCACAAATGACAGTTCGAATACATTATCCTGTCCCCGATTGCATTTCTAGTTTTTATAACGAATTCAGTAATTTTCGATAAGTAATTTGTTATAAAGCCGTTTTTTGTAACAGTTGAATTTGTGTAACGAAGAATTGTTCAACTTCACTTACAGGACTCAAGAAGTGGTCTTTTATGATTGGGTGTCTGGTCGAATACTTTCGGCATGGCGATTTGTATCTAATCACTCACGCGTGAGATGGGTGAAATTCGCTCCTGATGGGACAGTTCTGTACACAGCTACCGCCAATCCATCCAACACTGAATCAGTCTGTGCAAACAAGCTATCTGACCAGTCAGTAGTTAAAAGTCCAACAAAGGTAGTAGCTACCAAAAACGCTAAACAATCATCTATGCCAGTGGATCATGGTATGTGCTAACAAACAGTTATTCTGATCTCCACTTTGGTATACTAACGTTTTGTTGCAATTTCCCAGTATAAATAATGATTTCTGTAATGTTTAAGATTTAATTTCGCATTAATCGTTGCATTTAAACGCCAACATTTATTTACTCTTTCACGACTGCATATTTATTTCACACTAATAAATTGTAAGTTCTAGTTAGAAACGATGTTTTCGAGTTTATGTATTTGACGCTACGTTCAACTCAATTATGGCTTCTGCCTTAATATGATGGTCGGGTATGCATGTCGTGATTATCTAATCTAGCTGCTCTGGTTAGGCTGTTCTTTCCTTTAGGTCCTATCATCCCAGGCAGGTTATTTGAAAGGTGGTGAGACCAAAAGCAGTGAACGTTTTTAAGAGTAAAGTGGCACTGCAAAGCTGTTGAAGGGTATGACAGTAGTATATTTCGCTCAAACAAATTGTCTGCAACTGTGCTTCCTTTTTAGTTTAGAAAGCCACCTTTCCCCATGAATTTCCACCACCGATGGCAAGTCGTTAAAAGTTTATAGCTAATTCAAATAAGGCTACTTAAAATGCGGTCATGTATAATCCATTTAACTTGAAGTACGCGAACAACATGGTCCGATGTAGCGAAGGCCCTGACAAAATGGAGTCTTCTAATTACCGTAGATATCTTACCTTATAGTCCTTAGCACGTTTTTATCTCTTGGAACGAACACAAACAAAAGTGGCAAACGAAAAAAGTGAGTGGGGGAGAAACTGAACCTGCGGCCGTGAGGATAGTATCAACGCTAAGGGTAATTATCAAAACAGTAACATGACACAATGGTATGAAAAACAACTTTTGAAACAATGGACTGACTGTTCATAACATCCGAAACATGAAAACCTGGAACAATCAACTTATCACCGTTCTTATATGATGCAGAGTGATTAGGCATTTATTTCATCTTGCACAAGAAGCACAAACGTATTAAGAACAGGAAAATTCAGCTTAATTCGAACACCAACTGCGATTAAACCACAAACTTAATAAAGCAAAACACAATAAATTACGGCCCTCATACAGTAATGACGAAACTAATGCACATCTCGCTATTATCTCGCGGATCTAATTGGTTGCCTATATCAATTGTAAGCACATGTGATATACCGCCACTCTATGTAATACGTGTGCCTGATCACCGTCAGTCACAACAAATGGATATAGGACAATGTAGGTTAAGAGAAATCTAGGATCCCCCGAATCAACGAATAACACCAGTCCATTAAGTCATTGGTAATTGGGATGGGTTAGATGCAGACTATCTGATTGTAGTCCATATGATGACCGTAATATGTGGTTAGAGACGTCGGGTAGCATAACTGAAGATTGTTCACAATGGCACAGATAGATGCATTCACTCTTCATCTTTTGATCGCCAGTCCCAGTATTCTTTCATGTGTACTTCTGTCACTTCATTCCATATTCCTAATATTCAACTATTCATTGCTACTACATCATTTCCATCTTTTCATGTCAATGTGTTATAGCAACTTGTGCCAACTCACCTTAGTGCACGTTCTTCCCTTACGATGACTGTAATAATACAAAAGAATTAATTCTGAAATTAAACGTAAGGAATTAAGTTGAGATATTGATTCAGTCTCTGAATCTACATCAACTGAGAAATAATATACGTGTATCCAGTCACAATGTTGGGTGGCTGAAGAGTTGGTTGGAAGGAGGTCAGGGATAACCAGTCCAACACGTCCCAACCATAGCTTCTACCTTGACGTGGTGGTCGGGCTTGCCTGTCGTGATGACCCAACTGGGCTATATGGGCTGGGACATATGTTTATGTAGGTTCTACCATGCCAAGCAGGTCGATTGGAGAACGGTAAGATTAAAAGCAGCACATCAATATCTGAGGACGAAATCGTGCTACGTGTGACAGCAGTAAGGTGTTTCCCTCGGACAACCAGCATCTGCAGCGATGCTGCCATCTCACTGGGAAGGAGTGGTTAGAAAAGGTCGACCCTAAAAATGTCACACCTCACCTGTTGGAGTCTGCGAGACGGTACTAACCAATGGTTAGAGACTTTGAGTGATATGGCTCAACATTGTTTGCGATGGGGCAGGTGCATCCACTCTTTGTGCTCCTAAAATTATAATCTTCTAAATTCCTCGTCAGCTCTATCTTCCTCTTTCTAAACTTATCTCACTGATCTATACTTCCGGAATAATATCTTCAAACTCTAATCTTCTCCATCACCTTTAATACTTCTACCACATCTACCACTATGAGATTTGAACTGACAGTTGCGTATCTGTGCTAATGTGGTATAGCAACCTGGACTGATGTACGTGCGTGCGAAGTTCTACGTTGTGACTGTCTGACCGACCAACATCTACCATCAATCATTAATGACTGTCGTATAATATCGTATAGTTAGAGTTCGAGACTTTTATTTGTGTCTGCTATTTAACTGTGATCAGTGACTGAGATTCTAAGTGATATGGTTCAAAATTGATCTCAGTGGTCTAGATGCGTTTTCTTCTTTCCCTACATTTATAATACTGAATGTATTTCTTACCTTTTATTACAATAATTTGTTCCCTCAATCGTTTTAACTATCATAGATACTACTGTAACTCTGATCTTTAACTATATTCTGTTATTTTTATATCTGTACGACAAATTGATTCATTGCGAATTTGTGCCCAATTTACAACTAAATAAAACATCAACGAGATTGAGAACTATTTATTCTCGTGATTATTTGTTCAAAATATGTTTTTCGTTTTTTGTAGGTGGTGTCGGTGTAGCTCCCAAAGCTCCATGTGACCGCACAGTACCTCGTGATACTCTTTTGGAATATCTTGTTAATTGTTCTGACTCCTGGTTTCAAAATCTCGGTATATGCTCCGTTTGTTCGGTTCGTTTATGTCGATGGGCTGGCACTCTGGGACCGAAATTCCCAGCGACAACGACAGATATTCGCCTTGGAACATCAGTGGCACAACAAGCCGCCGCTGTTGTCGCCTCGACCACTTCGTCCAACATGTCATCACATGTCCAACATCTACTGGATTTGACTAATCCAAATAACCGTTCTGAAGTGTATGAGCGTCTTTGTCGTGATGCTAACCCAGCTGCCGTAGCTATAATTGAAGATATGCCAGTACATGAATTCCTTCGCTCAAGGGGCAACTATTGTCAATCCCCAAGGATTGCAATCTCGAATAATGGTGTATGCTGTGGCGGTCATGCTTGTGATTTGGTGATTACTCATCGCGAACTAATGCGTCATTCTTTATGTCGACCTTGCCTCTCGTCGTTTTGGTCTTGGGCTAGTAAGCATGTTGCTTGGTGGCGTTGGTCATTTTCTACAATTGATGAGCAATTTCCAAATTCTGCATCAAGTGGTAGTAGTAAAACAGGTTCGATACAAACTACTTTATCTTTCGGAGTAAGTAAATCACAGATTTTTACCTGCTAACTCATAGAAATACGATATTATTCCTTTCTAAATAGTAACAACATCCAACCTAGTTATATGTGCGCATAATGATAACTGCTTACTAACCTTTTATATATGCAGTGACCCATACTTGAAATATGCAGTCTTATTTTGTCAGTTATATTAATTTAGTTTTTCAATGTTATACAATTAAGTTTACACAGATTTGTGATTTTAATTCTCTTCATATGACACCTCAAAACAGTTTTACAACCGATCAACCCCATAAATACTAGCTACATTCTTGGTCACAGGTTTGCAGGGAAAATATTGGCTAAAACTGGTGCTTTAATTAGTTCCGAAATTTTAAAGAAGGTAAACATGTAGGAAGTTTCTTTGGTTATGTTTTCAGCACATCTGTTTAGCATCTGTCCTAGTGCATTATATTGAACAAAGTATGATTGAGTAAAGAAACAAATAATTACCGAAACAAAATATGACGTTAACCTCTAAAGTCACTAACATTATATGAAAAGGAATAGAGTTCCTTGATATATTCTCTACGTTAATAGGCTATCGATAGTCGTAAAACCGTCAGTCTCTTGATTCAAGTTTAGTCACCTTGGTACAGATGGATTTGTTTTTTATTCTTTAAGTTCTAAACATTTTATTACGCTTCATTTATCTGTATTGTCTCATATTTTTGCTTAACTATTCTTCTATTTAATACGTGATCGTTGTCGAATGTAGTGACTGAAACTTAATTTTGTGCTAAATTTCAGATTTGATTTCTCTGTTTAAACTGGTGATAATAGATTTAGCCTAATTATTTCACGATGCTAGGGGTAATTCGTTATTTAGTTGTTGGCACATTTTAACGTGTATTTACTGTCTCACGATTTTAACATTTCATATTCGTCTCATTGTTCTTAATTTTTGTCCAGAAAAGAAATAACTCTGAAAGGTCTTCTGATATTGAGCCTCCTGTTGGTATCTGCATTCAGTGCCAAGCAAAAATGTCTTTACAATTGCAATCACCGCCCAGTATGTCAGTGACATCTAGCCAGTCTCCCATTTTATCTCATGGAGCTGGTTCTGAACCCAAGGGATCCGATACCCTATCAGTTAATGAAAATCCTTCAAAATCTCTCCGCCTAATCCCGCTTGCAGCTTTGGATCTTTTGCGTTCAAGGTTAAGTAATGCTCATGAAGTTACGCCAGTAACCTACGTCGCCACGGACTTAATCAACGACTTTGTTTTCAGTCAATATATCAAAAAACTGTTAGTCAGCAGTAATGATTCTGATCTAATATCTCATAATCTTTTGGACTCAAGTATTTCCTTACCCTACAACCAGATGGAACAGATGGCTGTTTGTGCTTCATCTTCATCTAAAGTATGTTGTTTCTCATGATTACCATGCTGATAGTCTCCATATTTAGATTAAAGATTTTTTAAAATTAAGTGTGATGTGCGAAGTTGTTGAAATCTTTTCCTCACAAAAATACCTTTTCGTCCGACTACATATGTATGCTTCTCGTGTCGCCTTTTAGTGTTTCGGACATCTCTGGAGCTGTTGATGAGGATTTTATCTCCGTTAGATCTGTTGAAAGCATACCTCAGCTTCAATTGTCAAATATGGTACGTTTTTTCTATGTAGTGCTATCATACAATCCTCAGATAGGGTGTATGAGAATATTACAGCAAAGCTAAGCAACACTAAGGATAAAGTGACCTTCAGGTTGCCTCGCATCGCATGTCCCCAAAAACTGAACCTAACAGTCAATTTTAATTGGTTGAAATATGAGTGACCTACGAGCTGATTTCCTCTAGTCACAAATGATATGTTTATTTCGTGTTCCCAATCTGTACATAGGCATGTTATTTTGGGGGGCGGGTTAAATCAATAATTCGGTCTCATAAGAGTAGCCATCACCCGCACATTTCTTTGTGGTCATTTATTAATTTACCGTTTTGCTAATTCACTTGAGCAGTCGAAAATCTGCTCATCAAATTATCGAACAATTCCTCCCTAATATTTACCTATAATCCTACTGCGTAATCGGAAGACCTTCTTAGCATAAAAATGAAATAACTGCCTTTTCTTTACAATCACTAGTGCAGGCATGTTCGGGATCGATTCTCCCTCAAAATGCAAACTGTTGCTTCGGGATTGGCTTGCGTCACTGCTTCACTTCCTATCACTAGTTCAGGCATTGACGCAAGCCAATCATGAAGCAACAGTTTGCATTTTGAGAAGGAGAATCGTATCCCAAACATGCTTGCATTGTTGCTTGGGGTAGTAAGAAGATCGCATTTTGTTAGCGTCTTCACCAAAAAGAAGTATGTCATCGGCATACTTTAAGTCAACCAGCGAGTCTGCTGGTAGGTCAACCCCTGAAAAGTCAGACGAAGATAATGTCGACTCTGAAAGCACATCTATGAAAAATTTAAACTGGAATGGAGAAATTGCACGGAACGCCACTTGAAGTGATCTATTCCAACGACAGTTCACCATAAGCTCTCACTCGACCGGTGGTGTTCAAGTCGAGAGTTTGTATAAAGTTATTGTACTTCGGTACACATTTCAGTGACAGACACTGCCATAGAATCTCATGATCGACGAAGTCGAATGCCGCTTTGAGATCAAAGAACACAATTGCAGTGGGACGTCGAAGTAATTGTCTACGTTCCAGGACCTAATGAAGAGTGAATGTATGGTTTGTACACCCGTGTCCAGATCGCAAACCAGCCTGGTTATCTCGGGTCTGCTCTTCACGAGCTCTAGTTAGGCGTTGGAGTATTAATGAGGTCAATTTTTTCGATACCACATTACCTAAACTGACTCCGCTCCTCATCGTACTTGGAGCCAGACGGGATGAGTTTTCGAGCATCTATCAGTTCGGTAGATGCTACTGAAATCTACCGCTTCGCCCCAACATTGTGGTTCATCTTACAAGCAGATATCACTGCTATTCCCACAGCTTTTCGATATTATCGGAAGCTGTCTCGAGATGGGCATCACTTACTCCATGACTACCTAACTTTTTCTAGTTGTTCCTGAAACAATTCTTAGCTTTTTTATCATTAAATACAACCCTTGGAGGTTTCCTTGCGATCTTTTTCCTACGTCCAGTAAGACGCAGACAAACACGCGCTCGCACTAGAGCATGGTATGAGTCTAAACAAGTGGTGCAGAATGAGCAGCAGTCTTCAATAGAGCCACTCCACCGATGGCTCATAGCGATGTGATCTATTCGGGTCGGCTTTGGGGGTCGCTAGGTCAGGAGATGTTTTTCCTTATGCTTAAAGTTAGTGTTCGCCAGAAATAGGCTATTATCTGAGCACAGCTGTAAAAGACGGTCGCCATTATCTGTTCGATTATTCGTGACACCATAAGATCCACGCAGGTGTCTTCTTTCCACTTAGTCTACCTACTTGAGCATTGAAGTCACCAGCTATTATTACTATATCAAAGCGCTCAACTTTACGAAGAACGTTAAAGAGGTTTCCGTAAAACTCATCTTTTACCTCGTCTGAAATGCAGTCATTTGCAGCGTAGACAGAGACAACAAGGCGGCAGTTGCTAGTTTCCCCAATTTTTCGAGTCCTTACTATCCCGTTTGGTCGGACTGCGCACAAGCGACTATGTACTGGGATCCAGTCTGAGAGCTGGTTCTGCTCTAGGACTCAATGCTGTATCTACGCCGGCGAGGGCACAGGAAGCAGCATCAGGGCTACCAGAAACACGAAGCCTAAACTGTGTGGTTTCTCTATCTGCACAAGGTAAAATCAAATTGGTGATTTTACTAGGATCATGTATGTGCGTTTCGGAGACGCAGCATATATCGATAGCATGGGATCCTGAAGTCCTAACTAAGGAAGCCTTTTGCTCTATTCGACACAAGGTTCGAGCATTGAAAGTTCCAATATGTAGTTTGGAGCTGGGTATCTGGAGACCAGGAATAAGGTTTCGTGAACACTAATAGTTTATATTAACATCCTCAATCTCTAATCTTTTCGATTACTGCCAATCTACTACCTCTAATGCTATGAGATTTGAACTGACAATTGCGTCTCTGTGCTAATGTATTATGGCAGGTTGAACTTATATACGTACGTATGAAGTTCTACATTGTTGTTGAATGACTGACTGATAGTAATTATTGCATTAATCTTGCACAGAGGTGTGTTTACACGGTAGTCCATGTTGATGTGCATTAATTTCCGTCCTAGTGATCGTATGTTTTTAATTCTATTGACTGTTATTTAATTTCTTGTTATTTTAGCGTCGAAAAATGGATAATTTGCAGAACGAAATACTGTCTCATCACTCTGGTAGTCAATCATCTAACAGTACCTCAATTTCCAGACCACTACTCATGGATTCTGATCCAATGTATAAACCACCTGAATCTAATTCTTCGAATACATTTCTAACTTGTAAATATCGTCTGCCACAGGAGGCATCTGATCTGGGTGAATACACACGCGATAACCCTGATACTAACTGGAATTATCCACGTCCTGTTACCGTTCACTACACGCGTAGTGTCATTCCTTGGATATCATCGTCTCTTTTCTCATACGTCCAGACTGGAGCGTCTCTGCTAAAGTCTCCTCGCCAACCTACGGATTCTCTTTCAGAACTCACCGTTGTAGATCAGAATTTAGGATTACCAGCTTCTCACGAAACTACTGCAAACGGTACACATGTTGACAGTTATGAAACTGATCCGTGCGAAGGTAATCCAATGTTATTTTTATTTGATATTATTTGCAAAACCTATTTATATTTGTGATAGTTTCTTAACTCTCTTGTGTATTGATATTCATTCTTGATTTTTACCCTTCTGATTTATCATTTTCGATCCGTTCTGTTTTTTCTACTAATCATTAACTTCCTCGTTTAATTGTTTTTCGTTAAATCCATACATTGCTTGACATTTAATATGGTAAACTACATGAGCTGAAACCTGTAGACGCTTGTCCGTAAATGTATGCATTGATGTGTTTTCAAAGTAGTCATGATAGCATTGATTTACTTATACACGTAAACTCAGTTAAGTTATTTTTAGTTTATTTAACCACTAAGATGTTAGTTAAATTTAGAAACCTAGACTTTAGTGATCCGATCTACTTGTCCAGTTATAACGAATTATCATAAAAAATGGAAAATAAGGCCTCTAAATAGTTCTGACAACCGAGATTATGAATGTGTTTTTTCAGTTGCATGGGGAGTTCATTAGTGGGTACTGGCTACTAGTTTATTAAAGCACGTATGTACTTACACAGCCTATACAATAACCAATTATTTTGTTTTATCAACTTATTTACTTTCAGGATCCAACCGAAGTTCAATGACTGCATGTTGTCGATGTGGTCGTATTGTTCTCCAGACATTTCCCGTTGATCCACATTCTAATATTAGTGCAGTCGTTTGTGAAAAACTAGTGTATTCCGAAAATCGGCATCTAACTCCTAGTTCCCAGAAAACTCATGATAGCATTGTTCATCCACAATGTTCATCTAATCTAGATGCCCATACTCCCACAAGCCATCCTTCTTATCAACCTGACTTATCACTGCTGAACCCTTGTCCGTCCGGTTCAATCTCTTTGTCTAACCGATCCAGAAACGTGCAGACCAGAAAGTCAGAACCTACCGAAAGATCAGTGAATGGTGTGCTTCATTTGATTGAACAAACTGGAAATAATTCTGTACTAAACGCAGTGAATCGTAGTATAACTGAAGTTATAACTGGTCTGTTTGTTGATATGGGTGAATATGGATCCGCCTCTAGTCTCCAAGTGAGTGTTTTTATTCATATAAATAGTGTTTCATTGTTCATTAATCGCTCTTCACCGACCACCATGTAACAGGAACTCCAGTTCTCACAACCCCATACAAATTCTATTAATTAGTTATCAATCGAAACTACCCTAAGAAGTGAGATAAGGCAATAAAGAGAGTCCTTCTCTTTTCTGCCTTTCATAAGATCTTACATAGATCAGGCAATAAGTGGACTGGAACTAATGGGTAACTAGCAAAATATGGAAATTACCTGTAGAATATGGGAATGACCGTTGTTTAAATAAATCGATTGGCAAAGATGCAAATAAAGCTCTTATTGCAACTCTGCTTCAATAAGTTGAACCTTCAAGTATCACATAATAAGACCAAAGTGACGATCGTAAACAAAAGTAAGAATTACTCACAATCCATAGAAAGCCAAACTAAGATTTAACCTTTTTAACTATCTAGGGTCTATAGTCAGAAATGGTAGCACGTCAGATGATGCAATCAATGCAAATGTTAAAAAAAAGCCGAAATAGCATTGATCAAAATAAGTTCAATATTGCGCTCAACAAAAATCAGCGTTCACATAAAAATTCAATTGACGGGTACTTCATTAATCTCCACTTTAATGTATGGACTTGAATTAATAGCCCTCAGGAAATAAAATGGACAAAACTTGAAGCGGTCCTCATTACTGCAAGACGTATGTTCTTCCACCTGAGTGACAAAAAACAGATTACTGTCGACCAACTTCATGATGTAATAGCGCTAACTTAACAACCGAGGTGTTGCAAAGTAGGTTCCGTTTATACATAATGCACACAAAAGACCGAGTAACTTAATGGTGAGTTCTCTATAAAGCCTCATCCAAGACTCACAGAAGAAACTTGGACATTGAACACGTAAGTGGCAAGCTCTTACCTGATTGGATCAACAAATATGATGAATTCAAACCTCTAATTGTTGGAAACTGCCAACTTACTCATAGATGCCGAAATATAAACTGGAATCGTCTTCTTGCTACCATCAGAGAAATGAATAGGCATAGGATAAACGACTATCATTTGAATGAATCAGCAAAAACTAATGCAAGAGTCTTCAAATACCCATTAGACCACTGTAACAAAGCATACACAATGATTGGGTGGCTAAAAGAGCGTCTTCAAGCATGCCATCCACAGCATTTACATCAGCAAGTGAAACATAAAGCAATAATCAATCACTACTATGTGCTAAACCGATGGTCAGCCATCACTAAACAGGAAATAAGACCAGCAACATATGTTATACCCCCGGTAGTTCTGTGCTATCAAAAAACTCCTCTTAGGCAGTGCCTACCAGCTTCATCAACCATGGTTGGAAGGGGCGCTCTAAAGATATGATTGATTTTCAAGAATGTTTAGATATTAAATTTGGGAAAGCCAGACTTGTTAATTTGTTTGTATTCTCAAGCGATATCCAAATATAGATTCGAATATTTAAGTTGTACTCCGATAATTATGCTGATGTAGAGAGCGTAATCTAAAAGTGAATTAACCTTATTCATACTCCATGGTTAATTTTGTTTCCATACAATATATCTCTTTTTTAAGGTCATTATATACTTCTGCTTTTCTAATATAAGATGTTATTTGTTGCTAGTATGCTACATAGTTAATTTTCTGTTTATTGCATTCTCTAACAGGATGTTACACATCGTATTTGCCGGTGGGAACTAAGTTTGTGCAGTCCTATTTACAACACTTCTCATTTATCTTCTCCATCTGATGAACGTGATTCAACACGAAGTGCTTGCTTACCCATGCCAACTAACGTTGCTGTATCATATAACAATAACAGTCTTGTTGTTCCCCACGCTCGTTTATTTAATGATTCGTCTGTCTGTCTTTCAGCAGATGGACGCCTTCTTGCTGCATTTGTTATTCCTCGAGAAACATCATCTCAGTCTTCCGCCTTACTTGGGACGCTTCTCGCAGTGTATCGTCTGCAACCTCAGCATAGTCGTGGTCAGTGTCTTTTTGCTCGCCGCTTCACTGCATCTAGTCCTGTGTGTGTTGACTTCAGTCCTTTGGGAGATTTTTTGGCAGTCGGTTTAGCGACTACACGTATACCCTCGGAACCGTTGTCTACCACGAGGGAGTCGTCTGCACAAGGTCTTTTAAGATATGGTAGCTCTTCTTCTCTCCAGGATCATGTAGACCTTCGTCAGCCAAACGCTAAATGTTCGTGCCAAAGGCAATCCCCTGTTGGTAAGTATTTAAATGTTATTACGTTTTTGCTTTGATGACATTTACAAGGAAATAAGCATATGGATGGAACTAAATAATTCGTAATCAAATAATTTTGTCCTTTGAACGTACACATCCAGATTATGGAAATTATATAATTATTTTAGATAAATTCACTTTCCTAATTTAAAGTTTATTGTGATAAATAAGGACAAACCACATAACTTTTAAATTCCTCACCATCTGGTGTTTCTTAGATACTGTACTTCACTCGACTCATCCCAAATCGAAACATACATTAAGAGAGAACAATGTGTATTCGAACAAACCTAGCCTGCAAATATACAATACTAGGAACATTAAAGTTTATGTACAATTTCCGAAAGCATCGCAGTTCACTCGCTACCATTGATTGGTTGAAAAACGGAGCAATCAACGCATTCAAATGTGAATCAGGATTCTATGCAAAAAATAACTCAGCATGTTGCACCGTTCGTAATCATTATCCAGATAGGTGAAAGCCATTTTTACGGGCATACTCTGAGCTTTGTTTCTGTGTATGCTAGAACCAAGTTGTCCTGGTTTTTCATACACATAACAATAATTATACATTCTAATCTTGAAAAAGAGGCATATTGAGAATGATTATTTTGTGTCATTGTTCAACACTAATGTAAACAATTATTAACTGATTAGCAATGGTATGTAGGACTTTCGTTTCGTCCTATTTGGGACTTGTTCGCCGAATGTACGTGTATCTCATAGTTGATGTTCACTATCCACTTATGCTAATAATATCTGTAACCTAAATTCAATATCGGGGCAATCCGCACAAGATGCACATCTGCCCAAGAGACTGATCAATTTCAGTACTAAACAAATTCAAATTATCAATACAAATGAATTAATGTAAATAAGAGCTGACATTTTACCTAGACATTGTAGTATTATTGACTATGTTTCATCTTTGTGTTCTCTCAAATCCTAATCTTCTGAATTCTTCAACCCCTCTAGTTTTGACTTTCTAAAATTTCTCACTGAATCATACTTCTTGAATAATATCTTCTAATCCTAACCTCTCCGATTACTTCTAATACCTTTACTACCTCTTCTACTATTGGATTTGAATTGACAATAATATCTCTGTGCTGATGTGGTATGGCAACATGAACTGATGTACTTACGTACAAAGTTCTACGTTGCATCTGACTCACTGACTATGTTTCATCTTAACTCTTTGGTAGTAGTTGTAATTAACAACTATTTGCAGTACTGTTACACTTTCATTTTTGCTTATGTTGCTCCAGTTAGGTTTATTTGCTGGTATTTACAGTTCTTGAGAAATACATTTGTTTAGTAGTCTGTACGGATGTCTGCTACCTTACGCCTAGATTAACATTGATGTATCAGTTCATTTGCTTTTCAAATGTGCCATTACGCTTTCCTAACCAAATTTTCTAGCGTTCATAATCGCAATGAATTTCAGAAATCGATCTTCAATCATTTTATTTTACTGGATTGCGTTACATCGTTATGTATCAGTCAGCCCTCAATGTTAGAGATCAATAATATTTCCTCTTTTACTCTGTATTCGTTCGGATCTCACTAGCATTTAATTCGCATTAAAATATTCAGTGTTATTCTTGACAGGTTTGCTCTTAGATTGCGGTAATTTTTCTACGATTTTCCTATCACTATTGTATTTCTTTGCATCTCTTTACTATAGCTTGCGTTTTCCACCTTCAACGTTCAAAAACACATAAGGGTCGAGTTCGTCGAAGTCTGTGTGATATCCAAAATATCAAGCATCCTTCACTTCTGGATCCTATCTCGTCGAAATATCTTGAATTTTCCAATCCATCTACAGAAAAATTAGATCGTTGGCATCGATTATTACTTTCTGCTCAAAGTGGGATCTCTTTGAATACTATTGTTTGGAATGCCAACGGCAGCATCCTCTACGGTACTACCAAAGGTCTTATTGTAATTTCACATGGGAATCAATCTTCTTCAGTATCAATTCTACCACTTCGTTGTACCAAATCACATGTACAGTCTGTGAATGAATGCGAAGTTTCTTATGGAAGAAAATTCTATGTAAATCAAGCACAAACTATTACTAGCTCCTCTACCATTTCTGTATCCCAGTCTCATGCTGTAATTTAAACGCTAACTTTTTCTTAAAACAAAAAAATCTATGTATATTTAGGTTTACTGTGCATTTAGTTTATCTTAATTTTTTTGCTCATTTTTACTGGCTCATCATCAGGCGTGTAATCATATTTTTACTGGATTGAAAAAAAAACAAGAAATTTTTTTTATAATTAAAATTCCAATTCTACACTCAGAGATTACCTATCTTAATTTTTTTCTATCTGCAAACCGGTAGTAAATTAAAATAAAAGTTTATTTTTTACAATTTCCTGAATGTTTCAGTTTGTTTTGTTTTTTTTTCATTATTATTATTATTATTATTGCATACAGTTCATTATAAATGTATTTCTTGTTATGTAAAAAAAAACAGATTTAAACATTACATCAACAATCATGTTTGTTTATATATAGACAACTTGTTCATTTAACAAAACTACTCAACAACAACAACAAAAAAAAACAATTTTTTTTCGAGCGATTCTAACAATATTTTCTCTCTTTTTTTTCTTGTTTACTTCCACATTTTAAACCAAAAGGCAAAAATATTTTCTTTTAATTGTTTGTTTATTTCATACTAATCGTTTCACTTTTTGTTACATAGAAAATTAAACAATCTTTAATCCTTGAAAGGTTTAATTCCCCCACCACACCATATGTTTGTTGTTTTCTCTTTTCTTTACTTTTTTTAATGATAATCTTGATCTCCTCTACCTCAGCTATGTCCCAGTGATCTTCAATGTGACTGATACAGTTTTTACTTTTATTTTGAAATCCTGACTCCAATTCTTATTGAAAAAAATATATATATTTCCGGTTTGAGTTTTATCATATCTGTCTTTTTTTTTACTCACAAACTTTTATTTTTTTATGAATTAGGATCAAAAAAATACCTATGACGAATGTGCAACACAATGTCTTCATTTAAGCTCGTGTCAACTATAAGTAACTCCTGTTATGTAGACACTTTTACTTGTTTTTCATCGATCGACATCAATTTTTTAAATTGTTAAGTTACACATTGAAATCATGAATTGGTCACTGTTAGACCACCAGTAGAAACCTAGAAGCACTGGACAACCGTTTCATCCTAGTATGAGCCTCATCAGTAGTGCGCATTCACGACTCCTGCTCCTCGCAGGAGTGATCCGGACGACTGAACTTGACAATCTTCACAACCCAGTAATGCAACTACCTATGCTCCGTGAGGAATCTTCTCCGAGTTCTTGTGGGAAGTCGCGACCAATGAAGTTCAACCTGTTCGGGTGTAGATAATAACTGCCGAAGACAGTGTGTCAGATTGAATCGATCGAAGTTAGACATTAACATCGTTAGATACCGGCCCAGTGGTGTCTGTCATTGAAAGGTGTACCAAAGAATTACATTAAGTTTATACAAACTCTACTCGAACACCACTGATCGAGTGATCACTTCAATTATCTTGGGAGAGTCATCAGCGCTGATAGCCTGCAGTCTGACGAAGTCTCAGCTCGGATAAAGAAAGCTCGAATTGCTTTTGCCAATTTATGGCGTAGGTGAGATATCCGTTCGCTGACCAAAGGACGGGTGTACTGCGCAGTGGTTCGCTCCGTTCTCCTATATGGATGCGAAACATGGCCGTTAAGAGTAGGAGATGCTCGTAGGTTACTAGTATTCGATCAGTGATGTTTAAGAAGCGTTGCTCGTATATCGTGGGACAACCGAGTAAGCAATGCTGTCGTTAGGAAAAGTGTACTAGGTAAGGATGGCAGATCAATAGATGAAGTAATGAAATTTCATCAGTTGAGGTGGTTGGGACATGTGTTACGAATGCCTAACCACCGACTGCCTCGACGAGCTATGTTTTGTGGTGTGGGAGTAGGTTGGAAGAAAGCTAGGGGCGGCCAGACCAAAACATGGCAGAAATCCATGAAGTCACCTACTAGTGGTCTGAGTCATGTTGGTAGATTTCGGCTACCTGGTTGGGGTCCGCGAGATCAAAGTCACCAATGGTTAGAGACCTTGAACGACATGGCTCAAAATCGTTTGCATTGGCGCAAGCGCATCCATTCGTTGTGCTCCCTCAAATCGTAATATTCTGGAATCGTCAGCTCCTCTACCTTTGTCTTTCTAACCTTATATCACTGAATTATACTTCTTGAATAATATCTTCAATCCCTAATCTTCTGCATTACCATTAATACCTCTACTATCTTTATCACTATGGGATTTGGTTTGACATTTGCGTCTCTGTGTTAATGGTGGTATGGCAACATGAACTTATGTACATACGTACGAAGTTCTACGTTGCAACTGACTGACTGGCCCAGTGGTTAGGCGTTCTCGCCCAAGTCCGAAGTTCCGGGGTTGGAATCCTGCGAGGTGCAAGAGTCGTGGATGCGCACTGCTGATGTGTCCCATACCAGGACGAAACGGTCTTCCAGTGCTCCCAAGTTTCTACTGGTGGTCTAACATTGATCGATTCATGATTGCAATGTATAAAATGATCAGAAATGTTATCAATGTCATGTTTTTTAGTATTCTGATAATCAGATGTCTGTCTACAATTAACACTATCTCAGGTCTTTATTGTTGCTGAGTGAATGTCATTACGCAATCAGCCTTCATGGTAAAAACCTTTAGTATTGATTACATATACTACCTATTGTCCATCAATTTATACATGCAATAAATGTTATTTACGCTACCGGCATGCAATAACAGTAATGAGTGACGGTTATCATTGTCATGTTACCTTTAGACGTTAATATCGTTTTATTATTGAGTTGTAGTTAAACAACCACACGGGGCTACGAAAGATTAATATCTTTAGGATATTCATTGATAATAAAGTGTTTATTTTTAATCAGTTGTAGGGATTCAGTTCCCGGGTCGCTTTTAGAAGCTACATTGTGCACTAAATATCTGTTAATGTTATTCCAAGTTGCCGTACGGGTGAACGCCTAATTTAGGGTGCAGGATATATAATATCTGGTTACTTTCTCGAGTAAGTAGTTCAACAAAAGGAACAAATTTCGCGATCCCAATCAATATAAAACGATTAAGAGTAATTATACCCAGCTAGTATTCAGTGGCTTTATTCATAACTAAACAGATATCGGTATCATTAACTTGCTAATAGAATAGTCCACTGTTCTTGATTCGTTGTCAGCCATATACTGAACAGTTTCTGTTAAAATTACCCCGCCTAATACAGGTGCTTCCTCTTATTTACGGATATGTTAGGTGTATTTGACTAAATACATCGTGATGGTTGCAGGTTGCGTTGAAAGAGACCATACACATCCTTTCAAAAATATGCAACTTCTTGGAGGGGGTAGTCTGTTTCTTGATTTATTCATTAATTTCCTTAATACTGGGAATGCATAAGAAGGGCATCAAGTAATCTAACAAGTGTTTGTTTTCGTTATATAATTGGTAGAATTTTTTGTTTGATTGTCGGCCAAAAATTTCCAACAGTGATTTGTAACGTCTGTAATTTATGGCCAATTAATTTTATTATTAGGGAAAAAGTATGAGGACTGTGGTACCCAAACTGAAGCAAGCAAAGCGGAGTTCAAACCTACGATTTAGTTGCTGTGTCGAAGGTTCAAACCATCACTCCTATTGATGTGTGATGTAGTTTGACCTTTATGCTTGAAAAATCATCATGTCTTGTATTGTAAAATCATTTATCTTGAAACTATAATTCTACCAAAAAGTGTATTTAAACCAAGCACAGTTACGTGAACCTCACTTTTCTTCACATTAACTGGTGAACATTTACAATTATTATTGGAATTGTAGTGAAGGAGAACACAGGTGAGGGCAACCGAATTGTATTTATCGCAAATTACAGAGTTAATCAGTAAAATAGGAAAACTATATCGTAAACGGTTGATTTGCAAATCTTCAATCAATCATTAATCCATTGTCTGATATTTCACTATTCATGCGTTTCATACAAATTCCATTGTGTTCCCACTCTTCCTTTCTTGATCTTCCCCCATCTTCTGCTGCCAGACATTACGTTTACACTCGCGTCATATACTACTTATAAGTAGGTCGGACCACAGAATAATTGAAACGTACCAATATTTACTAGTGTTTCTGATTCAAGTTCTTCTAAAAAAGTTATGAAAACTAAGCAATAGTCACTTTCTGTGAAAGCTTCTAAAGATTTAAATCACCAAATCCTATTCTTATGACAATTCATTTTTTTCTGATCACCTTTATCTAATTATTGTACCTATAAAGTGCATAAAATCTAACTAGAACAGTATCATACACAGATAATGGTCGTAAATTAATAGTAATTTATATGCAACGAATCTTAAATCCGATTTGAAATCGATATTTATTATCAATCTGACCTCAAAATTTTAACACAGAATAAAGTATATCGACCTGCATGCAATGAGAAATGACACTCTATTTAATCGGATCGATTTATAAACGATGAATCTTGTAATTTTTCTCATCAATATAATACCTAGACTTGATTATTGGTTTGGTTACAGTTTTTCGTGTTCAATATTCAAAATTTAGTGATAAAGTAATTAATCTTTAAGTTAAGTACTCGACAGTTTGTCGATGCTGATTTAAGGCTTTGATGTTGTTAAATAGTAATAAATATCCATATATATGGTAATTCGAGTCAACTGTATTTTGAGTTATCCACCCATTCATCGTCTACGTAATCTTATCTGACTTATACTGATCACTGGTTGTCTCAGTTTATGATAAAAGACAGAGGTTTATCTTATGATCAACACTGAGGCATCAGTTTGATTAACATAATGTCTAAACTACTAGCTTATTACCATTCGACGCTTAACTAGGACTCATAAACCGCAAGCCCGAGAAAATCAGTAATTTTTCACCTAGATGTGAATGCATTGACTAGATATTTACTCTTCATGTGTATTGGACCGGTGGTTGAAGACACCTCGTGATATCTCAGTCAGTCGCGACGTCTCACACGCAATCACTTTGCCTCTTCTTAGATATTGAGTCTCAAAATGATAGTTCTTATCACTTCTCAAATTACAATGTTTATAATAATCGTTTTTGCGACTACTGATACTGTTATCTGGATAAATTTATCTTATTGCCTCATTGTGGTGTGACAACTTGAAGAGATGCAAATATATTCCAGTTTGCAAATGACCGACTGACAGATTCAGGTAAAACCTAGATCATATGTATATTGGGCCAAGTCATCCTGCATCATCATATGAGCAGAGTGAGAGATGAAAGTAGTAGACAAAATAGCTGGGTCGAATGAATCGTACCATCAAAGAGAGTCTAAACATTAAATATATAGCCTGATTATTGTACGGTATGATATTGAAGCTAAAAAGATAGTGGCTCAAAAACAATGTATGCATCTAGACCTCTGAGATCGATTTTGAACCACATCACTTAGAATCTCAGTCACTGATCACATTTAAATAGTAGACACTAACCAAATAGTCTCAAACTCCAACTACAAGGCTTGATAAGACAGTCAGTAATGTCTTAATGGACTGATGATACATTGTGTTGTTTCGTTCTCTGAGCTGGATGTTTTCCTTGTGAAGCTTAGGTTGTTCTTCTGAATAACATCATCAGCACAAACTTCAGATAGAAGTGAAGTATTCGAATTTCTCCACGTTTGACCTGTAGCTTATTCTGCTGACCTCGATTTTGATTGGTTGTCGTTGACTTTAAACCTGTTGTTGTTTACACCTTTGTTTTGATTGTATCCCCCTTTTTAATGATGATACATGCTAGACTGGTTATGTCTGACCTCCTCCCAACCAACTCTTCAGCCACCCAAAATTGTGACTGAATATACTTATTTTATTCCC